CTTGAAAAGTCATGAGCTGAGTCGGGAGCTGACGAACTAGGGAGCGATTTGGCTGCCAGTGCCTTCCTAGTTCCTATCCGATTCATTCCAATTCCAAATCCAACTGGGAGTCGGGAGCTGACGAACTAGGGAGCGATTTGGCTGCCAGTGCATTCCTAGTTCCTATACGATTCATTCCAATTCCAACTCCAACTGCGAGTAGGGAGCTGACGAACTAAAAGAGCGAACTAGTTCGTTTAGGAGCGGCGAACTGATCTGAGTGATCTTAGTCGCGAACTATTAAGCACAAGTCTAAAAAATACCAAATTCATAGGCTTCATAGGTTCCTAAAGTCACCATTATACTGGTTATACGTTACTTATAGGTATCTCAACCTACCGAAGTGCGATAACGGCACCTTCCATTTTAATTTTACGAAAAAATTAAGACTTTTTCTATTTTCATTTTCTGGAGAATATCCCACATATTGTAACGCTTGCAGAGACAGTTTGACACAAACATAAATCCTCGTTGTTATCACGAAGCTACGATGGTACCCATTGTTATATTATTTTGGCTAAAATTTGTTGATTTTTTTTCTGTCCTTTGTGGTGTTCATACAATAAATATCATAATATCTAAGACAGAATTCATGTGTTAATGGAAATTCAACCTTATGATCGCACATCGTTCGAAAACTTAACAGAAAATTGCACTAAGAAACTTTATTTACCGAAAAATACATATTTTTCTCTTGTTTATTACCTCAAGACGTAAAAGATCAACAACTACGACACGTCGAATGACATCGATAAAATACACGAACAATTTCTTTATCACCTGAACGGAAAGACAAATAGTTCCCCTACACGTCCGCCATACGAATATATTACAAAAAGGTTAGCTTGAAAATCTTAAGCCTATCGTTGTCAAGAAAATATTGGCTCTCATGAATCACCGAAAGTACGGGGTTCCGAACCTACCCTTGGACATACAGACAAAACTATACAATCCAGTTTATCGTGATCTTGCTTTGTATGATCTTTGTACAAATTCAAAGGTCAGCTTATACTGGATTCGTATAGCTTGATATGAATTATGTGCTCAAGCTACATTGTACCTTCACACCATTGTCACAAGGTGGGTATGTAGTATGTAGGTCACACAATAACACTGCCATTCAGGAAATTGAACGTTCACGTAGACTCGGGAACAATGCATTTAATTATAAGTCTAACATATGATTGTGTGGGGAAGGAAATTGGTCCTGCGGTACAATTGACTTGGATTCTCATACGTTTTACTATGACATGTCAATAAGTGTTTTAACACAACGACGTGATCTAACCAATGAAATAATTGAATTGGTTAACAAAATATTACCTATTGTATTTTCGGCTTAGTCTCGTAATTATTTGACGAAGAACTCGACTAGTTTCAAACTATTCTAGAGACTCATATTCATGAGCAGCATTACGCGTCGCGCTGCTAGTATCTACAACTAGTCTAGTCGAATTCCTCGTCAAATAATTACGTGAGTAAGCCGAAAACACAATAATTAATTAATTTATTTTATTTTATTTATTTATTATTTATATACACACATACAACACAAAGGACAACACATATTAAAACGAGGTACATGGGTCCTACATATTACAACTGGAATTTCTTCCTGTGGGCCTGTGGCAGGAATAGAAATAACGACACCGAGACGCAGCGTGTTACACAAATAGGATAAAATTAGTATGTCTCACGAAGGTTATAATACAAAATATTACCTTTCGTTTCCTGAAATAGCTAGCCAAGTGATACATTTCAATGTAACTCTTACATTCCGTTCCATGTGCCATAAGTTCCATATAAGAACGCCTAAACACTGGCGGTTGTCCAGCGTATTCACCCTTGCGCTTACACCGCGAAAACGCACTGCCTGCGCCGCGTAGTCGCGGCGTATACGTTTATCGAACGCCTACGCTGGACAAACGCTAGTGTGAAGGCGCTCTAATAGAGGTTGATAGTAAAATAAGCTAGCAAACTGTATTTAATGTCAGTGCAGTACAAGTTAAACACAGTGAAGCTCTAAGCCGAATTTCCGACAAAACCTAAATAAGTGCGTTAACTAGAAACAAATGAACCTTATACCGAATATCCCTCAATCCTTCACAATTGAATGAAATTAATGAACAGAATATGATTACAATGGCTACCAATTTAAACGTAATCTGGGTCTAATTTTATATTCCACGGAAGCCTCCGTACCGAAACAATTTATGGAAGTGTTGTATATTTATATAAATTTATATTACAATAGGTTTTTTATTTGTTTAGCTATTCAATAATGAATTTTATTTCCATGCATTAGATTACACTTTATAAACAAAAGGTACATTTGATTAGGCATACGTGTTCCATTTGGTACTAATGAAAGGGACAAACGAAGGTTTTCAATTGTTTTTTCGAAAAACTAACTTATTTTGCAAAAAACATGTTTTCTTATTGCCTAACATCGACCAACAATTTAGTTAGAAAAATGATAAAAAGTCCTTTTCTTTATTTAAAACCGCTTCAATAGTTTTAAACATTTCAATTCTAAATGAAGGACAATTTGTTTTTCAAAACTTAAAGTTCACTTGAGTCTGCATCGAAACTATTGTTAAAATGACTCTAAGATTTCGGAAAGGTCAGTCGTTTTCTAAAGAAACGTAAATTAAGTTTGTTAAGCATACAAGTTGTTAGTTTCAATTTGTACAAGTATTGTATCTAAGTTTGTACGAATAGAAGTACATTGCAATAGATTCAGTTCTGTTTGGATTAAAATAAGTTATGGACATGTCATAACATCCAATTTTCACCAGTATTGTTCGTGTCCCATGTATGATATAACTAATAGGGGGAATAAATGTCGTTCGCCGAACTTCGTGTTATTTATTACGGAGAAATTTTATAAAAACTGTTAAATACCCAATAATTTTTCGCCCGACCAGGAAGTCTGCGTCCTCTTTTGACATAATATTTGAATAATCTGCGCACTAGCGCGTATACTTACATGTATACTACTTCGCAAGCGACATTCGCCCTTCATAAAGGATGAACTAAAACGTAATAATCACTATTTTAATTTCAAATCTTTATTTACTTTCAGAAAACCTTATGCTACTGTGATGCCAGAGTAAGTTTATCCAATTGATTCCACTAATCTATTGCTGTACAGAATTGGTCAAATACACCTGTATTATTTAGACAAGCCCGCACACAACCTCACAAAACTGCTGTAAGCCAGGATCTACAGTAGATACAACCATGAAAACACCGGAACATTGATTTCCGGCGCGTCCCAGGGACATGAGTAACTGTCTTGGTTCCCGCAACGAAGTGAATCAGAAGATATTATCAGAGGAGAAGAAGAAAAAACTATAGTTCCCACTTCCCTCGGTGAATTACTGCAGGAGACAGAATGAATTAAGCCTAAAGGCACAAAGAAGAGACTGTACAATTTTGGTTGTATCTACTGTAGATTCTGGCTTACAGGAGTTGCAGCGGTTTTGGGAGGTTGTGGCGGGCTTGTCACAATTTAAAAAAAAAGCGTTGTTTCACGTGAGTTTTCTGGTCGGCCGTGGAATCACTCCGGTCGAGGTGACCCATTCGTGCCGAAACATGGCTCTCCCACACATAAATTCTTCTTTTTTCTATATAAGTAAGTGAATAACTATTTATTTACTCGTATAATATAACATACATAAGTACTTCCCTACGCAATTTTTATTAGAATTCCTCAAACACGATACTTCGTACCGTAACATATTAATATTATATTAAAATTCCCAGTTACTATAAATAGACTTAGAGTATAATATTATATCATAAAAATATACAATTTTACGAAGAAGTAGAAAATATGAGTAGGCAGAGGTGCTGTGTACATCACGGCACTTAATGCCACTGTACAATGTAACATCCACTTTTCAATATTTATGTCATGAGTCCCATGTAATAGGGGGTGAGCCTATTGCCATATACCGGGCACAATTCCAGACTCCGTGCTACTACCAAGAATTAAAAACCCAGTAGTAGTTACTTTACACGCTTTACACTTCCCGGGAATTGCTCACGAGACCTCTTGCCCGGCAGTAGCACTTGCGACCACTCGGCCAACAAGGTAATCGCGTAATCATTTCAACCGTACCGTGTTGAACATATTGCTATTCTCTAGACAAAATAAGGATACAAATACGCCGAAGAATTCATAAGCTATCTATAACGTCTTGAAATAACAATCAATTTTATCTTGTGAGTCATAAAGACGATTTTGTTTTCAGTGTTCAGGTGACAAGTGTCAAGCAGGGGTAAGTGACGGTTAATTAGGTAATATTTTATATCACAAGCCAAGGGAATTACGACCTTATTTACTAATACGTAGAGACTGTTTGTGTAACGATAATTTTTATAAGGATCCATGAAAATGTACTGTTCCTAGGACCCACTGTTTATGCCCTCATCCTAAAATAATTATGTGAGTGTACTAGTATACCGGTGTGGCACAATGGTTGGGCGATCGGTTGCTCTTCAACACGGCGCGCGGCGTGGGTATGATTGAACAATAATTCTTGGTGAGATCTACAATTTGTTCTTCCGAATCCAGGAGCTTCTTTTGTATTATTGGAACATTTACAAACAGAAATTCATCACACATTCACACGTAGGACCCACTTAATTTTTAGTCAAATTTCCGTGGTGCTTGGCGACTGGGCTTCACCCAGTTGTACAGTATCTTCTTTGTGCCTTTAGGCTTAATTCATTCTGTCTCCTGCAGTAATTCACCGAGGGAAGTGGAAACCATAGTTTTTCTTCTTCTCCTCTTACAATATATTCTGATTCACTTCGTTGCGGGAACCAAGACAGTTACTTATGTCCCTGGGACGCGCCGGACTTCAGTGTTCCGGTGTTTTCATGGTTGTATCTACTGTAGATCTTGGCTTACAGGAGTTGCAGCGGTTTTTGGGAGGTTGTGGCGGGCTTTTCCCATTAAAAAAAAACATAAATTCATCCCCATTGCTCCCCTACCCGGTTCAAAAGACTGCACAAAGAATAGCTCACTGCACCAAAGGTGTAGCGAAAAGTCGTTTAAATACAAACAATACACTATGTCTCAGTTAACCCAATAGACAGACCAATACTAAATTAGGTAACCAGAGAGACCACTTCTTTATTTATCTTGAACGAACACTAAATAAAACTGTAAGGTCGTATTAGGTTGGTCTAGTGAACAGATTGCTTGATACAGCATACAAAATGTATGGCGCGCGCCGTACTGAGGTCCCGAAGCGATAGAATATAATATGAAGGCAATAATAAATATTCTTCTTACAGTTCGTCAAAGATAAATGCATAGCTACAGTAAGTACACTGGCGTCTATTATACTCTTATTACATTATACAAAGCTGAAGAGTTGGCTTATTTGTTTAAACGCGCTAATCTTTGCAATTTTTAGTTCGATTTGAAAAAATATTTTTGTGTTGTGTAGTCTATTTGTGACCGAGGGCTATAGATTATAAAACATCATGGTACGACTAATAGGAGCTGAGCAGAGAGGGTGAAACCATGTGGCAGTAGCTATAAGTTAATATTTAATAATTAAGGCCGCTAAATAAGACTTCTAACATAATTGGTAAAAAGATAATGTTATATTTTATATTTATTTGTCAGAGAGACAGAGTCTACCTCTTCGGGGATTAAAAGTTGTGACGTTATATGATGTTTAATATTACCTGTCTCGTCGACCGCAGACATAGCTTGACAGCAGAGCAACAAATCTCGTGATGGAACTCCAAACTCAGAATGTTTTTTTTTCAGTTTTTCATTGATTCCTCAATAATGAATGGACTAACACCCAAATTATAATGAATCATTTATCTATTTCCAATCTTAATATCGGTTGAAGCCGATATTTTTCAAATCAAAGTTCGTGTTGTCAGCAAATACCGACACTTTTCTTATGGAACACTTTGTACCAACCTCGTGAGGGCCGCATACATTACGTCCCCTCTACACTCCCCACTCTACATATTGCACGGACTATCATAAATGTTACATACAACGATATTGAATTTCTTTTGTTTTGATTTGTGTATTCATTTCTGTTATCAGTGCGAATCCTACTCGTGTTCGTCTGGGGTAAGTGGAATAATTTAATACTTTAAAATATTGTTGTAAATATTGAATATATGTGTCTATATGTTCACTTGAACTTTTCAATCTAAGAAAAGTACTAAAGTAGAAAAGTAAATAGAAAAGTAGTAAGTAGAAAAGTTCAGAGGTCTGCACATTTAAGCTAACGAATTTATCAAGCCTCAATATAATTTTTACCTAAGACATGAAAAAAAGCTCTCATTTCTCATTTCGGCACATTAAATGTACTCAAACTCAGGCTTGAACCTAATTTCGACCTTAATGCGAAATAACGAAGTTACAAATCTATTTTGGAGTAGATTGATCTAACTTCTTATTAACCACATTGTACATCTATCCAAGTGATTTCCTGTGGATGTTAAATATGACGCTACAATACAATACTTAAGAATATGAAAGAATTTGCTTTAAGATTTCATAATATTGTACCACAATATTTGATATTTATTTCCAAAAATGGCAGGATTAGATGACTGATTGGCAATTTCTCTGTAATTATTATTTAATTTCGCGTAAAACTCCATTAGTTAGGTGGTAAGGACCCCATAACATGATTGATGGTAATTAATGGGCTCTCAAAACAATCCATGAGGTCGTGACCTTCACTTTGGGAGGGAATAATGTAAGGCTGTGGTCAAAACAATATTTGGGTTAAGGGGCCTTTGTAACTACGGCTCGTTTGGGAAGAATTTGCAATAGTGTACCACTACTTACATATTATGTCGTGTCAGTATGTTGATCAGTATCAAAATTCTAAGTAATACTTTTTAGGACTGGCAAACTTGGAGTGAATGTTCAGTTATTGTATTTACAACCGTAATTCAATACAATAGTGATTATATTAGCGTATTGACAATGTACAAATCATAGGATCATTGTCAGTAAGAAACAAAAAATGCATAGAAAATCTTTTTAACAAACATCTCAGGCTTATCTCAGATAATGATTCATTATTCAATAGAATTTACAGTGATCTAAATCCAACTACACATGTCCATGGTCATAAAGTAACAGTCCATACCTATTGATCATAAACATTAGTGTATTTGTTTGAGAAACCACTTCATTGCATTGTTTAAACAAAATAAAGCTTTTTATCCAAATACTCAAACGCTACCCAATTTCAAGTTTACTTAAGTATAGTTCCGTCTCTACAAATTCTTTGAAGAATGACAGAGATGGCACGTATAAAATTGAGTAACCTTTCAGTATTCGGGCGATAGTCTTTTAAACATAAATTAAGTAATGGTACTTACTTACTTACTTAGGAACTTTAAACAACTATTCGTGTAATGGTAACATTGCATGACTAGGTACGTTGCTAGCTCAAATATTATCCACATTATATTATAACGTTCTAATACATTATTGCATTTATAGTTTTCAAAACGGAAAACTATTGCCCTACACTACAGCTTTTTCCTATCGTGGCTTCGTATATAAAGACCAATCCCACAACTCGAACACAGAACAACACAAATATTGGGTGAAAAAATTGAAATCAAACTTGTGACACAAGGTATAGCAGCCGGCGCAGGCACTACGCTAACCGTATCGTAAAAACTACATCTAACAATATTACTAAGTCCATAAGGACACTGTAAATGTAGATACAAATACATAAGTACATATATAACAGACTTCCCAAAAAATATCTTGTCCGGGACATCGAAAAGGGACGGAATTAATTCCGTTCCAAATCACTTTACTGTCCCTGAATTCAGGCAGCACTTAGCTGAACTTCTTCCGGTTAAAAGCCTCCAATTTATAATACATGTCGAGACCAATGAACTTACCCTGGAAACTTCATATACTTGGGTTCTTACTTACATCGCAACTTATGTTACTTAACTATATGTTTGAACTACGAATAATACAAACAAAAAGTGAGATCTTATCAAAAAAATGGAAATAAAGAAATGGAAGGTACTTTTGCATATGCTTTTGTAGTCAGTACATTTTTGACAACATATGATTAGATATGAAATCAATTTATTAATTAGTACAAGATGTTACAAAATGTTTACAGATCTCTATGATTTGCATTTGGCGTACAGATGTATATTAAATCTCTGAATCCCCCAACCTCTCCATTTCTAACCCCCAAAAGGCCGGTAAAGCACTTGTAACGCCTCTGGTGTTCCAGGTATCTATGGGTAACACTGATTGCTTACCATCAGGTGATCCATCTACCTGTCAACAAAAAAAATACTTTGCAATATCGGTACTTATGTAAGAAGAAATCGGATTATTATTTTTAAACGATGCATCATACTTTATTTCCACACCGTAGGTGCATTTTGCAAGCACTCTACACTAAAAGCATTCACATTACACACTCAGACCAGCAATAATATAATTTATGGTTTACTCAAAGAGTAATTCCTTGCAAGACTTCCAATCAATCCTGCATAGTTCAGCCACCGACCTGCAGCAGCAACTGCACAGTCTAATTAAAACAAAACACATTCGCCAAGTGAACTCGATTTAACTAAACGTAGCAAGCTGTTGCAGACGTTCGTCTTGCAGGTATACGGTGAGATATTGGACCCTCTTCTGCACATCGGTACAATCAGGCAAGTTATTTCGGTTCAGTTTAGAGACAGTCCCTTTTATAGTCCTATTTAGTTAAAGAGAAACAATGAAGTTTCTTGCTCGTTGTTCTCCATACGAATCGATATTTTGAAACGAGTACTTGGCTTCTCTGACGGACTTTTATTTTGTTACGATGTTTCAAACGTGTATCAGTTTAGAAATAGTCAATGCCTGGAATTGAACTAAATTATAATATTTTTCTGGGAGAGCCATGCTTCAGCAAGAATGGGCCGTCTCCACTGGAGTGATACCACGGCCTCACAGAAAACCGACGTCGACGACCGCCAAAAGCCCGACTATCCCCTTCCCCTCCCTAATCTCCCCAATCCCTGAATATCTAATAATCCTCAAATTCCTAATCCCCAAAAGGCCGGTAACGCACTTGTAAAGCTTCTAGTGTTCCGGGAGTCCATGGGCGACGCCGATTGCTTACCATCAAATCTTTTGCAACAATTAGTCGAATTAGTAGATAACTAATGGTTACTGTCTCAATCTTTATTTTCTTACTTGCACACTAAATAACTGACTCTGAACATTTGCCCCCGACAGTACTAATATAACATTTGCTTACCGCTAGGGAAATAACACTGAGCTCTCGTCTACCTTGTGTTCGTGTGCTTATCATTGTGCTCCTAAACCTGGATTTCACTAAGATACATGAAAATTTGTGAATGATAGTTCACCTCAAGTTATTCTCGCTTATAACTGTACTTAGATTTAGAAATTAATTAATTATATTCAGAATTCTATTAAACCAGGGTTCCCAAACTATGGATCACGACCCATTGGTGGGTGGCAAGTGAAATTTTAGTGGGCCTTGTCTGTATTATGACACGCTAACCAATCATTCTATATTTTACTTTTCCTATTGGTAACAGTTTCATTTCTTAAAAGTGGCTCCATAGAACCTGCCTACCCCCCATGGGAGACTGCCGTGATGTTATGTATACATGGATCCTGAGGTTTGTAACTTGATTTAGAAAGGTCGTAGTCTCTACAACTTTGGGAACCACTGTATTAAACACAGATTGTACAGGCTAAGTACTGTAAGTGTAGATTCAGTATCTACACTGTTAAAATATATTCATCATCATCAACAGCCTATAAACGCCCACTGTTGAGCAAAGCTTCTCACACGGAGAAGGTTTGAGCATTATTCACCACGCTAGCTCAATGCGGCTTGATGATTACAAACTTATAATTATAAATTATAAGCCCAAGTTTCATCACGATGTTTTCCTTCACTGTTTGTCAGTAATGTCTAGACTAGATAATCTTAGAAAGTATATATAACTCGGAAAAAGTCATATTGGTACTTACTTAACCTAATGCTTATGAGTTTAGAGTGCAATACTTAGGCGGTATCATAATAATATGTAACGCTTCCATCACGTATTATGCTTCCAAATTTAAAAAATTGTTACATAACATAACATCACGCCTTTTATCCCCGAAGGGGTAGGCAGAGGTGCACATAGAAGTAACACCCACTTTTCACTATTTATGTTATGAGTCCCATGTAATAGGGGGTGAGCCTATTGCCATATACCATTCCACACATTTCCATTTCCAGACTCCGTGCTACTACTGAGAATTTTTTAAAAACCCAGTAATACTTTGCCCGACCCGGGAATCGAACCCGAGACCCCTTGCCCGGCAGTCGCACTTGCGACCACTCGGCCAACGAGGCAGTCATGTAAGTAAAAAAATGTTATATAGTTTTAAAGTTACATCATATTTACAACGTGCCGCCCAGCGTGTCCCCGTTCGATTCCCGCATGGAACTACTCTTTATGTGATCCACAGATAGTTGTTGCGGGTCTAGGTGTCATGTGTATGTGAACTTATATGTTTGTAAACGCCCCCATGATACATGAGAAAATCCTAGTTTGGATCCTCCAACTTTATAAATTAAATAGCAGGAAATAGGGCAATAAATTACTTGTCGTAGTAACTACCAGCTGTACAGTACTTTCTACAGTTGTAATTCACGATATTAATAAAATCTTAATTCAAGTTCTACACGCGAGTGTGTGCGCAATTAATTAAATAAATGGAAGCTCCTATTGTACTGGAAATAATAGTTATAATACAACTGTCGCTACATTCATACGTGCACGACAATACGTATGTACTATTGTTACATTACATACAGGACCACCGCACATCAACTTACCATAATCAGTTTATTGGAATATTAACTTTATCTTGTTGGTGTAAAAGTTGACATTTTACTGAAGCAAATTGTCAGTTAGGTGTACTTTAATGTGCAGGCATCTGAGTTAATTATGCTTTATATTTTCTAGGTTCACAGGTCATTACTTAGTATTATCTAAATTTTGACATGTGATTTACGTTTAGTACCTCATTGACCTGGTTGGTGAACACGCGATCCTAGGTTTGATTTATAGCTTGGACTACGATGGTGTGTATTACCGTTTATTATATTGACTTTTTAAAACTTTTACAGTGCATTGGACCTGCATGCTCTTCAACAGTAAGTACCTGGATCATATTTTGATTGAGTATCACACAACTTGAAAGTGTTTTATTGGCTATTTACACATTTCGATCAATATGAAATCATTTGAATTTATTCCAGTGTAGCGGAATGTTTTGTACGGCGGGGGTAAGTTTATAACAAGTTGGTATACATACGGTAATCGGTCGATATAATTGTTTTTCATAGCAGAATCATTTGAACAGTTCTACAAGTATACAAAACACGCTAGAATCAGGCAACTGGGAACCGATCAGTTAGGTGATGCCGCGCGGGAATAGTTACGCCACAGGCTCACGGCGCAATTCTCACCCGCGCACGTCACCACGTTGGCGGAATGGAGATTTATTTTCAAGTCACGAGACCGCAGTTTTCTGCAGTCGGACAGCCGCCACAGTTGAAATTATCATTGATTATCGCAAGACAGGCGGGCTGTTAAACAATCAGTTGAGTTCCGAAGCGGCCATCCCATTGCGACCGCCCCCTACCGAACGCAGAGCGCGCGAGTGCTAGCCGCCGCGGCTGCGGAACCGGGGCCGCGCCCGCCGTCGGTGCAGCGAGAGCCGCGAACGTAAAACGCGGCGTGGAATGTACTTTAATTTTTTACGTACAAATATATATTCTACGAAGGCTGCGGGCCCGCAACCGTAGATGGCGCGGGATGAAATCGCGTCGTGAGTCCTTAACCTTAGTATTAAAATAAATTGAGATAAAGTTAGCGTAAGATGTTTCATAATAAACATGTAAAACCTGAAGGCGTATGTACTGACAGCCTGGTTGCCATGGCAACGGGTTAATTAAGCACGTTACAAGTGATGTTTATTACAAGCCTGCGTAATAATAATTATTTTCTTCTGATGTTTAAATTAAAATATATGTTGAGCTATAATAGTATGCATATGTTCGTAACTTGTAATAAAATGGTGCGTACGATGAAATTAATTGTACTAACATAGTTTATATGTTTCATTTTGTTACCAATCTTCATTCTACTAATATAGTTATAAGTTGTTATTGTTACTATCACAGTTATCTGTAATTAATTGAATTGGATAACTGTGTACAATATTATCTATATTTATTTTATTATACATATATAGTATAGTATATACTTTGTACATAAAATCGCCTTACTATCACAGAAATTTCATATTTAAAAGTATAATAAGTTGCCTATTACTTAATGACTTATGAACCAGTCAACCAATTAAACCTGGTCAACATGTAACACGTGCTGAAATATTGTTATTTTAAGTGTGGGAAAGCCGTGCTTCGGTATGAATGGGCCAAGTCGACCGGTGCAATAGCACTGCTTCACAGGAAACAGACGTGATACTTTACGTCGGTTTGACGACGCTTTGACGCTTGCGTTGTGTGAGCGAGGCTACCGGAGGCCCAAAACCTCCCCGAATCCCCAACAAACAACAAATTTCTAACCCCTAAGAGGCCGGCAACGCAATTATACCGCCTCTGGTGTTTCGAGTGTCTATGAGTAGCACTAATCGCTTAGCATCAGGTAATCCGTCTGCTTGTTTACTGACTTATCCCATAAAAAATGTATAACTTCTGTACAGAGGGATAGTAGCTTTACGCCACAATCCTACTGCACAGGATTAGCTAATCCTAATGACTACAAACTAACGTTATCCTACATTATCTTAGCTAATCTAACGCTTATAATAACCTATCCTATAACCCTAATTAACCCCCTTAATCCTAACTACCTATGTAGTCTAAAATCCTATCCTATAATTGCCTAGTGTACAATGCGTATAGGCGTGGTGCTCTGGGGTATACTGGGATACAGACCAGCATTTCTACGCACCTACTACTAGGCCCTAACCTAAGGCACGTACTATCGTGGTACACTGTGGTATGCTGTGATACAGACCTACGCTTCGTACGCGCCCAATGCCCTAGCCCTACAGTCCCTAGACCCTAGCCCTACCATACGTATTTATATATACTTATATAGATAGGTGCTGGATATCTGCCACCTGAGACCTACGATGGCAAACGGAATGTGGGTAGGAATGTGGTATGGTGGAGAGGGTTTGCTCACTGCCTGTCGAGCAGACTCACACGACAGATCGGTCGATGGCTAAAGGTGTCTTGGCCACAGCGAGAGGAGGAGCTTCCTCCACCGAGTGGTGGAGGAAGGGTAGTGAGTCAAAGTCGGAATAAACTAGTGACTGTTTTATTTCTTAATTTACATGTTCTTATATACTAAACTTATCCTATGTACACACATACCACACTATGATTGTGTGCTATGCGTGTAATGTACCATCTCAGCGCTCTATCCTTACGTGAGTACGTGATGTTTTCCTTAGTTGTATTCCGGAATTAATATGTTTCTGATCAGTACTTTATCACGTAGGGTTATCTCGCTGATATGGCATGTTCATGTTTGAACAACTTCAAAATAAAGCTTAGGACATGAAACTCAATTTACTCATTTTAATATACCAAGCCGGTTCTAACAATTAGGATAATTTCAGTTGGAATAACTCGCAGATAAGTGGGTCTAGTAAATTACAGGACAGACCGTTAGGTAATTGGACCCTATTTTTCATGATGTTTAAAACTTAATGATCATGAAAATTACTGAATTTAAACATATGGTACCATTCTAGTATGAATAAATAATTACAACGATTTACTAAAGGTAATAATTTTACTAAAATATTTTCAAATAAACGCAAATTTAGACAATATTTGGTTTCGCTTTATTCTGTTTTTTTTTTCAATTTAATAGACATATTCACTAAAATTAATCAATTTCTAGATAACACTATCTTCCTACTATATGCAAAATAATAATATGTCAAAGACACAGAAAAAAGAGTGTTTCCTAACAAAAAAAAATAGTGGTTCTAAAACAAAAGCTAGGATTTCGTAGCACTCGTAGTGCTCGTAGCGGGCGCGTAGTCGATGCTACGCCCCAATAACTACGACGTAGCCCAATATTTTTGTGCAAAATCGTCGTGCAATTTTTTTTCACGGTCACATAAAATTAATATACCTACGTATGTTGAGAAAAAAGGTTTTTATTATAAAAACAATCAATAACCGAATCTAATATAATCGATATTCCAATCATAGTTACACAAATATTTTATGTATACACAAGAACGTAGTACGTATACATACATGGAATATAGAACAACGCTTGTCAATAACAAATAAATTCTTTGTTCATTTTTCACACAATACAATTTATACGATATTTAAAATATTGTTTTCAGTGTACAGGAGTCCAATGTGTAGCTACTGTAAGTACCGTGAGTGATGTTTCTTTACACACACACATACACACACACACACACTTAAAATACATTAATTGTTTTTTACCACTGAAAAACATAATTCCGATCCGTTCGGCATAGAATGGAATGGAATTCTAGAAAATACTCCCTTAACAAGGAAAATTCAAATGAAATTTTCGAATATACTTTGTTTTTTAAATTCCAGAATATTAATTCGTTTCAGCTGTACCTTGTCACTCAACAACACTCAGTTTCACTCAGTTTTATATTGGATTTTATGTAAAATTTCTTACTTGTTTACAGTGTATTGGACTATCCTGCCAAGCATTTGTAAGTATACTTATAACCGATGTCCTTCTTTGCGATGAGGTGCCATGAGATCACCTTATCGTTAATCAATCAGTGCCGCCCATGAACACCTGCAATAAAAGAAGAGTTAGAAGCGTGTTACCGTCTTTTTGAGGATTAGAGACTACACGGTGACTGGGCAACTCGCAGCGCTCAATACGCCACGTATTCGATTCCCGCATACAGCAAGCAATTGATGTTCTGAAAATATTTAATTTCGTTTTTAATTTTCATATAAATCCCAGGCATTACATATAACATTGTGATTGTTGCAGTGTCAAGGTGCGGACTGTATGAAAGAAGACAAACTGTGGGTACGATAGTTTTAAACTAAAACCACGTCAATAAATATTATTTCATAATAATTATGTTTTTGTTTTACTCACATATTGTCACGAATAAATTCAGTATGTCACATCACACAACAGCCATAAGTAGCCACTGCTGATCAAGCCACTGCTTGACGGCGCGGTAATGAACATGCTTTTGTTTTCTTTTTTTATGGCATAAGCCGGTAAACTAGCTGACGGATCACTGATGGTAAGCAATCGGCGTCGCCCATGGACACCTGGAACACCAGAGGCGTTACAAGTGCGTCACCGGCTTTTTGGGGATTAGGTGTTTAAGGATCGTTGGGGATTCGGGGATTGGGGAGATTGGGGAAGGGGAAGGTAATTGGGCCTCCGGTAACCTCACTCCCACGACGAAACACAACGCAAGCGTTGCTTCACGTCGGTTTTCTGTGAGGCCGTGGTATCACTCCGGTCGAGCCGGCCCATTCGTGCCGAAGCATGGCTCTCCCACACTTTATTTGGACTCTAATTTATCAAGTGTCTTCAACAGAATTTAAAACTTCATGCATTTTTGAATAAATTTGGAAACCGTAAACCCTTGCTATCTTAACTAAGTAAAATCTCTGGATAACCTGTCACTGTGTTGTGGTAACTTCATCAAGCATAATACTCGAAGTAATTGGGTTCGATTCTGTGGTCAAAAGGTTTCCATTTCCGGGTGATATCATTTCGTCTTGATTGGAGCTGTTAGGTTGTCTCCTTTAGGTAATTTGTTACACTTGGTGATTATTGATGATAGATACCGTTTCTATACAGGTAATTAAAATGGAACTAATTAATCAATCACTCTTTAGTCTGTCTGTCCGTCTTTCATTAGGCTTTTTATTCCGAAATAAATCTTCTCACATGGACAAGGTTTGAGCATTAATCACTGCGCTTGCTCAATGCGTGATGGGAATTTCAAACTTGTAATTAGAAATTTTAAGCCCATTATATTTCCTCACGATGTTTTTCCTTCTCCGTTTGTCAGTGGTGTCTAAATAATCATAGAAAGTACATATAAATTCATATTGGAATACACTACACTTGCCGTTGGTACGTTTCGAACCCGCACCCTCGTGCATGAGAGGCGGGCGTCACCTTCGAGGCACCACGACATTTAATATCACCATAATGATTCAGTAACCGATCACGTGTAAAAATCAACAATATCACAATTATTGGTCCTTACGTCGGGTCACGTCGACCGCCACTCGGGTCACGCACGGGTTATTAAACTGAAGGCCTAGTGCGAGCTTGTTTTTGAGTTAACGCGATCGGAACATTACCGCGTTCAGGCCTCTGATTGGTTGGTTAACTTGAAGCAGCCAATCAGAGGGCTCAATATGGTAACGTAACAAATCACTCGGACTAGGTACTCTGGTCTGCTGTGACCGATCATTTCATACTTAGCTTTAATATTGGCCTGATATTAGTTGTTATTTGAAGAGATGAGAATTCGTGAAGAGCATCAACACTAATTATTGTTTCGTAAAGTATTCATTATGAGATAAGACCACCCATTGTACTCAGATTACTATTACAATGTGAACAATTTTTTGTGTGTGAAATCACTATCACTACATAGTATAAAACAAAGTCGCAGTCCGCCGTCTGTCTGTCCCTATGAATGCTTAGATCTTTAAAATTACGCAACGGATTTTGATGCGGTATTTTTTAATAGATAGAGTAATGCTTAAGGAAGATTTATATGTATAACACATGCATATAACACCCTTGCGAAGTCGTGGCGGGTCGCTAGTAAAGTATTAAATAAGTAAATAAATATTACATTAATTACCGTTTTCACCAACCTTTCCTACATTTTAAGGAACCTCTAAACTAAAATAGGTGGCATTTAGTGTATTGTTAGGCATCCAGGGCACCTAAACTAATTTAGTAGCTCCCTCATGCTAAGTGATTCTTAGTTAAGAGATGGTTTAGGGGTCAGAGTAGAGGAAATTATTTCAACTAAACGGTACAGTTTTTTGCCTATTTTTTGTAATTTAATATTACACGTTTTATTTACTTATGTGTGTGAGAATGCTGTACTACCTAAGATTCTAACCTGAGAGCTCTTTGCTCAAAGTAGAAAAATAAAAAATAAAAAATTCTTTTAACCTAAAACTATACTACACTCACAATTGAATTCGTTTGAACTTAAAAGTACGTTTATAAAATAAATTTTACATTTTAATTTAAAGAGACCGACATCAAAGGATCTGTATACTGAGCTATTCAATATCCTTAGAAAAATGCAAGTTAAATACTATTCACCAGCAGATCAAGCTACTACAATCTGTCAATTTGGTTCATTGAATTTTCAACCTTATACCAATAAGACAAAGTTGAAAATGTAATAAAGAAAAGGGTAGGTTGAACTGCCGACGACTGTAGATATACTATGTCTAGAACGAAGTATAGTATAAAGGCTGAAGAGGTTGTTCTAACAGAGTAAATAGAGAGGTTATATTAAACCCTTCACAAGTGCAGCACAAACACACGTCCCTCCGATATTTGTCTTACAGCAGAAAATTATATTCTCTTGTCGTGTGAGTATGAGTTCTGCGGTACACTCGGATGGTGGGTTTCAAAAATCTTTCAATTGAGGAATTGAGAATGGGAGAATGAAAGTGTGGAATGAGAAGGATGGAAGTGGGGATTAGAGAATAGACTGGACCTCTAGTAACTTCAGTTGTTGGTTACGCTAGTTTTTCTGTAAAACTGTAGTATCACGAACCGCAAAGGAATGGAAGTCTTTGCCGGAATCTGAGTTTCCCGACAAATACTTTGTTGTCTCCAAGTCCCAACTAGTCCCGAGTAAACAGGTTGCTCATAGGTAGGCATGTTCCATCGTCGGCTTCATTATCGTGCACCACCAGGCAAGATGGTAGCCAAACGTCATCCTGCGCGCGCCTCAAAGGGTCATCAGACCACCATGGATGGGGCCCAATAGGGCTGATGCCGATACGGAGTCGCGGAGATCCTAACAAGATACCGGGGCTGCGGCTCGAAGTGCAGGAGTAGGAACGGGATGGTTTTTAGTCAGTAAGAGTCTGACACTCCCTCCCGCCTCACTCAGGCGGTAAATCAGAAGTCATTCGATGATTTTCTCCTGAAGCAAATCATAGCTGTCTCGTGTGCAAAATTAATTTTAATCAGTTTATTACAAAAAACCGATTCGATAAACAAACCGTGGTATCGAGTTTACATTTATGAATGCAAGCACTGGTAACTCTATTTGACAACTTTACTGCGCTATGCTTGAAATTCCCATCATTTACAGAACAGCTGGCCACCCTACATCGTAGATACAGAAGACATATTGTTTACCTATTCGATCTCTTTATATCAGGCAGATAACTATGTATATGATACCACCCTTAAACCATATCCTAACAAAGAGTTACTTAGTGTAAGGGAAAACTTAAAGGTTGTCACTTACAGGTCAGTGGAAACCAAAAATACGTTAAGTGTCTATCTTAGCTCAGGGGTTACTGAAAATATTAAATAGGTTCATGAAGACGGACAATCAACATCTCTAAAAAAATATCACCAAAAGCACTTCTAATTATATGAATCAAGTTAAGAACTTTTTAATTAACTTCTATTAGTTACCTTTAAATAGCACACGCGAAGTGTACTCTCTAAAATATACAAAATGAACGAAAGCCCCACGGTATGAGCAACCGCAGGATTATTACGGCTCGGTACATTCATTGCCTTTGAATTCAACTATTACACAAGTTACACAAATTAAGCTCTGTATAATAAACGCTGCAATTAATTTAATTACTTGTAGTTCTTTCTCAACTCGTTTATTTGAATGTTTATATTCTTTTTAAAAGTATTGTTGTTGTAAAATATTACGCTTTCTATTCAGTATTTTAATTTAAGACGTTTTGGGTATTTTATTCATGGTAGTATTTTTTTATGACATAAGCCGGTAAACGAGCAGACGGATCACCTGACGGTAAACAATCGGCGTCGCCCATGGACACCTGGAACACCAGAGGCGTTACAAGTGCGTTACCGACCTTTTGGAGATTAGGAGTTTGAGGATCGTTGGGAATTCAGGGATTGGAGAGATTGGGGAAGGGGAGGGTAATTGGGCCTCTGGTAACCTCACTCACATGACGAAACACAACGCAAGCGTTGCTTCACATCAGTTTTCTGCTCGGCCGTTGTACTCCGGTCGAGCCGGCCCGTTCGTGCCGAAGCACGGCTCTCCCACACTTATATACCTAGTATCAAAAATTGTACAACAAATTAATTAATACTAATCTCGATCCGGGATTCACACTCGAACCCAATCTCTTTTATAGTCACACAATTAGTGATCAGTTGACCAAAGAAGTAGTCATTTTTACATGTATGTATTAACATCACTACTATCGTAAGGTATGTCCCCCTCACTATATTGTAGTATATAAGATCAACAGACGGCACGGCCGGGCGTCGGGGATCGCGAGACGATCTCCGGCCAACGTAAGCGCGGGCCTGCGAACGGAGAGCATGGGTGGCTCCCCGTCCGACCAGAAACAGACCCGAGCGTACGGCGCGTCGCGTTCCGCACGCGCCTCAAAGAGCCATCAGACCACCACAGATGGGGCCCAATAGGGCCGATGCCGATTCGGAGTCGCGGAGAACCTAACGGGTAACCGGGGCTCCGGCTCGACGTGCAGGAGAAGGAACGGGGTGGTTTTTAGTCAGTAAGAGTCTGAC